ACAGAAGGACGAATACGATAATATGGCTTGATATACGATACTCTTAATTCTAAAAACACAGGACACATAAGAATGAAATGAAACTCATCCTCAACATCTCCAAGATCACATAAAGTACACAATCTCTGGTTTCGAGGCACTGCATTATATCTACCTGTCTCTATATTAAGGTTATGTGCTTGCAATCTATATTTCGCAAGAATACATTTTTTTTTTCTAAATAGCAGTTTTGTAAAATACCATTGTAGATCAAAACGGTCAACAATGTGTTTATACAACAAACATTTTGAAGATGTCTCGAATATGTTTCTCATTTCCTGAATAAAGGTATCCTTTATGTGTTGTATATATAATAATCAAAAAGATTTCTCATTTGGTGCATATTGTGCCAACAACACATCTCCAAAACCCAACGTACACAAATCACGTCTCAGATGATAAACCCAATTTGCTTTACAATTTGGTTTCCTGTTATAAAGCTCTAAAAGTTCATCGTAACAGGCCCTCAACATACAGTTATTAGCCTTTAATATTTGCAGCCAGTACTTTACAATAACATTCCTACGCTGTATATGCAAATGGTAACGACCAAGTTCAAAATACACCATGGCATTATTGACTGTTTTCCTGACACCCAATACGGTTTTCAAAAATAATAAATATATATTTTCAATCTGCGATGCAGGACTATAACCCCATACTTCACACCCGTAATTCACAATCATGATATATAAGTATCAAATAAAGATAACTTGGTCTTTTCATTCAACAAAAATCTTTTCGCTTTCCGATTAAGAAGAAAATAAGCTTTCCTTCGAATTCCTTGTACAGCAATTTTATTCAATGCAATGGTAAATTTACCATTATAATTAAAAACCAAACCTAAATAGCAAAATTGATCTACCACTTCTATAGCTTTACCATCAAAAATCCACTGCTCGTTTGGATACAATCGTTTACTTTTCCTAAAGACAACTATTTTTGTTTTGTCTACATTTACAGATAAATTCCAACGTCGAGAATAAGTGATTAAAAAATCCAACATATTTTGTAGGTCAACTACATCCTCAGAAAAAAATACCGTGCGGCATACATAATTAAAAACAAATTAAGTAATTGCAAGTGATAACTTTGGCAATTTGACTTAATCAATTCGGATTCCATGTCGTTGACAAATAAAGAAAACATTATTGGAGATAAAGATTCTCCTTGTTATAATCCGACCTGTAAGTCGTACATAGGAGATAATTTACCATGAAGCTTTACACATGACTTGACACTCTCGTATATAGATTTGATAACATTAAGCATCCGTCCTCTTACACCCGATTTCCACAATTTATACCACAATTTATCATGTGATATACTATCAAACGCTTTTCTATAGTCTACGAAAACACAATAAAGCCTTTTATTACTCTGTAAAGTTTTAGTAATCAAGGTATGAAGTACAAAAATTGCATCTCTGGTAACACTCCCGGGCTTAAAACCAAACTGAGCATCTGTAATTACATTCTCGCTATCGCTCCACTTTAACATTCGTTTATTCAAGAGTGAGGTAAATAACTTGGCCATTTGACTTACTAACGTGATTCCCCTATAGTTATTTACGTCGTTTTTATCACCTTTTTATGCAGAGGTATAACAACTCCTTCTGACCAAGCTTTAGGAAAGTATCCTACCTGTAATATAGTATTAAACAATTTCTGGAAAACTGGTGCAAAAACATCATTATACTCAATAAAATATTCATTAATGACATTGTCTAAACCGGCGGATTTACCTTTGGATGACCCTTTCATTGAAACTTATAATTCATCAAGATTGAAATCGTCATCAAGCTCAGGGTAAATACATTAGTTATCAACTTCAACTTGCTCAATATTGACGGGAGAAAAGTCAACTGAATTGTTGGCAATATCTTTAAAATATTGGTAAAAATCATTTAAAACCAGATTTCCGGAATCACAAGTCTTACGTCTAGAAAAATTAATATAAAAAACTTTTGGATCATTTTTTCTCAAAATGTCTAACATATCGCCTTCATTCCGAAGATAACATCTCTTCACCCTTGCCTCGTAGGTCTTGTATTTCTTCTTTTCACGAACTAAGTTTTCTCGTTTGCTAACAGTTCTACATATATTAAAAGATCTTAAAGCGTTTCTATATATTCTACGTAAACGTTTACATTCGTTATCAAACCATGGTTTGTCAGGTTCCTTGACATTACGTCTAGACTTCTGATCACAAGAACAGTTACAAGTACTTATACGTTTCTCGAAACAGCAAGACTTGCCAAAAATAGAGTGAACATTGTTAACCAGTACTTGCAAACATTTGTCAAAACTGTCCATAGTATTCTCTAAGGTATTCAACGAATTTGCAATTAATGCCCTATTTGCATTCATAGAATCAGCAGTATTCACTCTTGCTTCCTCTGTCCAGAACACAGACTTAGTAGTACTAAACGTATTATATAAGTCACAACAATTACAAATATGAGTGTCTGCTTTTAAGGTGAAAAACAATGGCGCGTGGTCAGAATATTCATTAAAATCCCCAACATTACAATTGTGAACCTGGTCCAAATAATGGCTATGAGCCAGTACATAATCAATTGTACTTGTACCTAAGGCGTTATAAAACGTAAATTTACCTTCGATATCACCAGTCGTCCGACCATTTAATATTCGAAAACCAGTAGTCTTTTGCAAAAGACGACGCCCAAATTGGTTAACAAAAACATCTTCAGAATTACGAACACTTTCACCAACTTCATCTTCATACGGCCCTTTAAATTTCAAACAATCAAACAGCATGACAATTGACCCATAATCAATATTGTCATAACCTCTGTTCCATATATATACCTGTACATTAATAGATTTTTTAAAAATATTTAAACATAATTTAATGCCTATTTTAATTTAACAATAGGATTAAGTTAAACAATTTATACGAAGCCCTTTCCCTTAATATGTAAATTGTCCTTGTAGCGGTTTAAGATTTTAAATGTATGTTATGTAATGATGGAAGATAAAGTGAATATGTTACATAGCATATATTATAGTGATGTCAAGAAAAGTTAACACAACAAAAGCTGTATTGTATTTTGATTTGCATTATGTTATCTTGCACATTTGTTTATCATGGTTACATTTTGTTTATCATGGTCATATTTATTTACAGAGAATCAATCAAGTTTGAGATTGTGAAGAAATAAAACATTTGTCAACTTCAGTCATTTTCCAAGTTTATATTCATGCACAGGGATTCGTTACAAATGTTAAAAATACACATATATATACACGCTATACTGATATGGATCACATGTGTGCTGTCATATTTCGATTCACGCACGTAAAAAAACCTCCTAAAATACACATCTGCTATACACACACGTGCTGTAGCCCATATCAATATGACATATAAATATATGTATTATTCACGTACGTACCGTTTCTAGAATCTTTATTAAGATTATCCGTGTTTTCAAACACGTTTCAAAGAGAGTACCATATTGGCTTTCATAAGGAACCGTCGATATCGCCTCCCTTTTTGTGTTGATTTTCTACATTAAAATTTCGCTTGTTGGGATTTTGTTTAACCAAATTTTCCAGGTTATTGACCGATATTTTTTTCGGGGCCGCGTGCAATCTGCAAAAATTCAAGATGGCAACGGCAAAGTGTTGATTCGTCTATTATTTCGTCTTTTCGCTCGACTTTTGTCGTCTTTTCGTCTTTTCGAGGCGAAAAGACGAGAGCCTCAAAAAGACGAGATGACGACAATTTAGATACAAATATCACACAGAAATTTTGTGATAAATTAGTGCTGAAATTAATTGTGTAAATAATTGCTCATTCATGAAAAGCTTTAATCTTACCATCTTTTATTATATTTATATTTCGAATTATTCATATCTAGCAATTCAAGTGTGACTTATTTATCTAATTATCTACGTCACTATTCATATCCTTTGTGACATTTAAGATGACGACATTCTATAATTTAAAATTTAAAATAACGAAATGGCACAAATAAGCCACCATAGAAAACAGAGTGCAACTTTCACTCTGATGTTCGTAACGTATTTATAAGGCTACTCTCTGAAAACAGAGTGACATGCGGAATTATCTCCAAGGTATAGTTTTTACTTAGTTACAATGCTGTATAAGACCATATAGGCCTTCTGACACCAGAATAAACATGGGGTTGTAGTGTTTATTACGTAGTGTTACTGTAGGAGGGAGGGTGGAAGTTTAGCCCGTCCCGTAGACAGATAGTTATAGCTATGTACAGTGCCGGATATATATTCTAGGCTATTGTAATTACTGGCCAAATCGGGACTATTAACAAGTCAGTAATGTGTGTACGGAGAGTTACCATGGACACTTCTCAAGTCAGTGTTCCATGCATGGTTAAGTTTAAGTTTTCCCTTGAGTACCTTTTGTTGCCAGTTATATTTTGTAACATTCCATATTTTTACAGGCTTTACACCTCAGTTAACTGATTTTTGTTGTTTTGTTATGTTTATTATTGTTATATGAATCCACACTTCGATTTAAAACTATAATTAACGGGTATAAATCGGGTGTTGTTTTGAGTCTTTCATAACACTTCGACTAATCAAGAGAAAAGAACTGGAAAGTGGGTTTAGGAGTTGACTATTGGCCCCTGGTTTTATGGTCCAAGACTTGTACAATTTGCACGACATTCAAAATAACACAACGCTAAGTCATTTTTGTGGCAAACTCTCGTTTCCTGATTCCTTCTACTACGCATACAAAAATGGATTAAGTCATTTGTGAATGATAACAACTCAGCGAACCAGCGGCTATTGTACTGTAAATAAAATGTACATACAAGAAATGGATTAAGTCATGTGTGTATATAACAACTTAGCAAACCAGTGGCTCCGTCACGCATGTATACAATGAAACAGGTTTAATTTACATTGGTCACCGGTGATATTTGTATTGACCACGGTCAGGAACGCTGTAACACGGGTGCCTATTAGTGGATTTAGTCAGAGTCTCAGAGACGTATACACTACAGTGGTGTACACGTAACCGTTTGGCCACTTAAATATTCATAGTTTACGATTTCATTCAAAGGGACTTGTGAAGATGAGGACTCTTAAGAATAGAAACACAAAATTCTGTGCTATGTTTGTATCGTCACTGGTGATATTCTCTTGGACGTATATTCATCGGAACGTCGACTACACTAATTGTCCTGGTCCAGGTAAGTACTTTCACTTGTTATTTCATAACATTATTACAGGACAGGTTTAGAATTTTAGAAGGTGAGGGTCGGGTATTTTTTCGTAACGGCTGTAGATCGAAAAGTGCGTTCCGAAGGTCTACACGACCAGAGCGACGTGATGTGGTACCCGCCACTCCTGCATCCTGTTTTATTCCGGTTTGTGGATTGTTTTTGTGGTTCCTCGAACAGAACAGGTTAATATTATGCAAATTTAGATGCTCTGATATGAAATTTCCCATTGAAACGGATAGGTGGCACAATATTAAAAAACAAGACCGAACATGTACTCTATGTAAAAATGATCTAGGCAACGATTTTCATTGACTGTAGTAGAGCTTAGAGAAAAATACATTTCTTTATACTATAGGAAAAATCCCTGAAATTTAAATGGATACCTCATGTTGTATATTGTAATGTATCTGAGGAAAGCAATTAACTAGTGGAAAAAAAAGACAAATGACTAGGAAGAGATCTCCAAAAGGAAAGAGTAGTGAAGTGAGAGAAAACACAGAATCTGGAGTGTTTCAATGAGGGCAGTATATCAATGTCTGTTACGGATGAATTTCTCACCCGACACGATTTCTCACTCCTGTATCTCGTGTGAGGAGTAGGATTACCCATGTCATAAGTACGACAACAGGGACATGCGAATGTGTTACAGCTATATTTGGACCGAAACTAAGGTGGTGAGAGTAATTCTACATGTTTTAGGGATCTACACCCCTAATACGTGAACACTTACTCTGAACACCTGTGTTTAGGTCCAAATATCGCTGTCCCTAAAACATGTAAAATTACTCTTAACACCTTAGTTTATGTCCAAATATAGCTGTAACACATTCTCAGGTCCCTGTGAGTACCACCATTGTCATTGATTTTGGGGATTTATGGTTAAATCGGCCAAGGTAAAAACGGCCTCGATTTACCCAAGTGATATCGGCCCAAGTTAAAATCGGCCGAATGTATACATGGAATATACATAAATGTTATAATGACCCCTATCTTTGGGTTTCATTTATATACCAACCTCTGAACATATATATTAAAATTAATAAATTTCTTTCTGCATTTCCTTGTCTCAGTCGCAAGTTCCACAAGGGGAGGTAACCTGTACTAATGTAATCTGTTATATACGTCGAGGAAGATAGTTATCATTTTGTGTGTAATCTGAAACACTGACATTATTTAATTAGATTGAATTATTCGAATGATTTTGTTTGATGTGATTAATGAGGAAGTTAGCCGATGCATACAGTCTTTTTCTTTAAAAACTGTATACATCGTTACCAGCTCTTGCCACGTGGAGGCCTCCTCTTTAAGAGCCATAATGTTTAGTTGATGTCTCACAATATATTTATGTATCTAAATTTCAAAATTATCAATTAAGTTTGTCCTATTCACTGCCCTACACTATTTGTCCTATTCACTGCCCTACACTATTTGTCCTATTCATTGCCCTTCACTATTTGTCCTATTCACTGCCCTACACTATTTGTCCTATGCACTGCCCTACACTATTTGTCCTATTCACTGCCCTACACTATTTGTTCTATTCACTGCCCTACACTATTTGTCCTATTCACTGCCCTACACTATTTGTCCTATTCACTGCCCTACACTATTTGTCCTATTCACTGCCCTACATTATTTGTTCTATTCATTGCCCTACACTATTTGTCCTATTCACTGCCCTACACTATTTGTCCTATGCACTGCCCTACACTATTTGTCCTATTCACTGCCTTGCACTATTTGTCCTATTCACCGCACAATTTCACTATGTGCTGCAACTTTTTACACCTGCTTTTCATCAAACTTACCTGGGTCAAAGTCGATCACTGCCCCTCCATTGTCGAATCTCCAAGAATATCCAAGAGTCGGCTAAGAACCTATAAAGGGAGAACAGATTAATAAATGACGAATAAAGCTAATGTCAATAGTTATGTGTACGGTGTTTTTGATACTTTATATTTGTCCGCTTTAGCTGATTTGAAAATACAATCAAAGTATCTCTGGGTATGTTTTTATTAGTTTTTCAAATAACGATTTAATATATATCATTTCATCGTTACAACTTACAGCAACGTAGTCCTGTGCTCGCTGTCTCGACATCAAGACGAATAGTAGCGGCACCTGCTTCAAGCACTCGTCCTTCTGCAGGGACCCATTAACACTCCAGAGTTGTGTAAATGGCTCCTTCCGGATCTTGAAAGTCCCATCCATATTCCTATGATTTTTTTTTACATTTAAGTTAAATGATTATAATCAACAAATAAACGCCCCCGGACATAATTGTATACTATGTATGTTTAGATACAAATGTATCTTACTTTGCTTTGTAACCTACCATCAGCGAGCCTCACCACACGGTCATTATGTAAACAGTTGTCGTTCATGATGATTAGGTGCAAAGTGGTCGATCGTTGTTCAATTGATGTAAGTCGATTGAAAGTGATTTGCCGAGAAAATCAATCATATTTATCGCTATTTGCGTGAGTGATCTATACATTTGATTGGCTACCTGGAGGCGGTGATGAGGTGGTACTCTAGAGTTAGTTATGAGCTACTCAGCTATAACAACAGTCTGATAGGCGAACATCATTGTTTGTGTAAGGCAATAAAAAACAAAAAACAAAAGCAGTACGTGATTAAATAAATCCTTAAATATATTTATTTAAATGTAATTGTACTTATAAATGTAGATATCCCATGTATTTAACATAAAGATACATAGTAGGGCCGATTTGAACTTGGGCCGGTTTCACTTTGGTAAAATCGGCCTGACCGATATTAATTGGGGCCGATTTAACCAAATACCATTGAAAACAGGGGGAGATAATTCCGGCGATAACGCGAAAATTGATCGAGAAAGAGAGTCCCGGAGAGAGTACCTGAAATCAGAAGGTAAAACGTTAGAAACAGGGGGAGCTAATTTCGTCGGTAAATGCCAAATTGATGTCGTCACACGCAATACACAAACATGATGAAAACAGGGGGAGATAATTCCGTCGGTAACGCTAAAATTAATGACGTCACAGCAATACACAACCCACGAAGAAGTGATGACTAGGTGGGGGCCGTAGGTTTAGGGGGTTGCTAAGGCGCCATCTTGGATCCAAGATGGAGGATTTCCGTAGCCCCCCCCCCCCCCTAGTCGTCTTATCATCATTTCACTTTCACGTTCGTAACGTAATTATAGGGCTACTCTCTGAAAACGGAGTAACATTTAGGCCTTCTGACACCAGAATTAACATGGGGTTGTAGTGTTTATTACGTAGTGTTACTGTAGGAGGGAGGGTGGAAGTTTAGCCCGTCCCGTAGACAGATAGTTATAGCTATGTACAGTGCCGGATATATATTCTAGGCTATTGTAATTACTGGCCAAATCGGGACTATTAACAAGTCAGTAATGTGTGTACGGAGAGTTACCATGGACACTTCTCAAGTCAGTGTTCCATGCATGGTTAAGTTTAAGTTTTCCCTTGAGTACCTTTAGTTGCCAGTTATATTTTGTTACATTCCATATTTTTACAGGCTTTTACATCTCAGTTAACTGATTTTTGTTGTTTTGTTAATGTTTATTACTGTTATATGAATCCACACTTCGATTTAAAACTATAATTAACTGGTAGAACTTGAACTCGGGTGTTGTTTTGAGTCTTTCCTAACACTTCGACTAATCAGGAGAAAAGAACTGGAAGGTGGGTTTAGGAGTTGACTATTGGCCACTTGTACAATTTGTACAACATTCAAAATTACACAACGCGAAGTTACTTTTTTGTGTCAAACTCTCATCTCCTGATCCCTTCTACTACACATCTCCCATTTTGCCTGACACGGACCACGGACACCGACACGGACTTCGACGTTTCAGGGATGTCTCGAAATATAAACTAAACACATCTTGATTATAATTACGTATGTTCATATACGTTGCAAACATGGTGTACATGCATGATAGCAGAGACTTGGCACAAATACTCAATCCATATATGCGTGCGTGTGTGATGTGTATAATACATATACATGTATATGAACCGTGGCTTCAGAATATCTCACAAACCCCTGTGCATGAGAGGGAGATGGCCGTACTCAAGAAGATGGCGTTATCCAATTTGACTAGTAATTCTTCTGGATAAAACACTTGGTGTAGGCATCGAGTACAGTTTTTGAAAAACTACACAACACACATTTGATTTCATTGCTGGCAAATTTATAATTTATTCAGTATCGGTGTCTGTGTCCGAAACACCAAACACCTTCAAAACTTTAGGGATTTTTTTGGTTATGAATTTATGATATGTTTTCTGGTTTTTTAATAATAATTCCGAGAAGGATTTTTTTTCTTGTCCGCCAGTTTTTTCTTTGGCCTCTTCGCCACAGCTACAGGCGGTTCTAAAACATCATCCGAAAACAGCGACATCGCCACCGCGGCTTTCTTCCGCGTCATTTGTCAGGACGGGCCAGCCTCAGAAACTTGTTCCGTTCCCTGAGACGAAGAAGCTTGTGGAGATGGGTTTGCTGATTTGGAAGCGAGTTTCGTTTCCAAATCGCGTATCCGTCTTACCTCCAGCCTATTTAAGGACTCACACAACTAAATAATTTACTATATGTTATTACCAAATATTTTAGCTTATAACTTTAATATTTGAAGTTCAAGACTAGTGACAACTGTCTAGATTCATAAATACATACCTTGCAAAGGCTACAAAATGACTTTTTTGTTAGGTTTAGTGGCATATTGGAGTGTCACATCGCCAAGAAGTTGACAACCGGAAGTTTACAAGCAAAACCGGTGACCAAAAACAGAAACGCCCCCAGACATTTTGCCCCTGTGCAAATCCGCACACAGACATGGAAATATATCAAAAGTATATATTTTTCAAAAGTTAAATACTTGAACATTTCTTTTATCTAAAAATCTGTCATCAGTTCCTTATTAAACTCCTTCAGTGGCCCAGTAATTAGCCGGAACTTATTTCAGATAGGAACTACAAACGTATGAAACACTTGCTGATTGGCTGATTTAGTTGTGTGAGTCCTTAAAGACAAAAATAAAAACAAAACTTTTTTTCCCCCAAACTGTTCAGTCTATTTAGACATGGATAACAATTTCAGTTAGTTTTTTTTGCAAACTTATTTTCAAATGCGTTCAACGCATACATTTTATTCATCCTGTTGTTACTTATCAAATTTAACGAAATAACCACCCTCATGTCCACAAGTGTCTGTGTGGTTAGTATCGGTACTCCGTGTACACACGTGTTTCAGGACGATAATTTCAGAAGACACACGTCCACTCAGGTAACTCAGTATGATGTATATTGGCATACATATGTCATATGGATGCAAATACATTTATACTTTTTAAATTTGTCCAATTGTAGTAGTACACACATTTTGATGAACTCATTTTCTATACACGTATATGAATCGCAGGGCAGCACGCACAATTCGTGAAAACATCCGCGTGATCAGGTAAAAAGCTGAATACGTGTACTCGTCAACATTGGAGCTGGGGTTCAGTGTAAAGCATTTGTAATGAAAAGGTCGTTTATTTCGATGTTTCGAATTTTCGCACTTTTACCAAAAGTTTGAAGAGAGAAAAATATAATGAATTCGTATTCTGTTACTTTGAGGTAAAAGTATTCTGGAAAAAAAAAGAAATGTTTATCCCGTATCGTATGTCCCGTACCGTGTGTCCCGAACCGTGTATCATGTATCCGTACAGTGTATCGTGTATCCCGTACCATGTATCTTATGTCCTGTACCGTGTGTCGTGTGTCCCGTACAGTGTATCATGTACAGTGTATTGTGTATCATGTACAGTGTATTGTGTATCCCGTACCATGTATCTTATGTCCTGTACCGGGTGTCGTGTGTCCCGTACAGTGTATCATGTGTCCCGTACAGTGTATTGTGTATCCCGTACCATGTATCTTATGTCATGTACCGTGTGTCGTGTGTCCCGTACAGTGTATGATGTATCCGCACAGGGTATCATGTATCCCGTACAGTGTATCATGTATCCGTACAGTGGATCATGTATCCGTACAGTGTATTGTGTATCCCGAACCATGTATCTTATGTCCTGTACCGTGTGTTGTGTGTCCCGTACAGTGTATCATGTATCCCGTACAGTGTATCATGTATCCCGTACAGTGTATTGTTTATCCCGTACCATGTATCTTATGTCCTGTACCGGGTGTCGTGTGTCCCGTACAGTGTATCATGTGTCCCGTACAGTGTATCATGTATCCGTACAGTGTATCGCGTATCCCGTACCATGTATCTTATTCCTGTACCGTGTGGCGGGTGTCCCGTACAGTGTATCATGTATCCGTACAGTGGATCATGTATCCGTACAGTGTATTGTGTATCCCGTACCATGTGTCTTATGTCCTGTACCGTGTGTCCCGTACAGTGTATCATGTATCCCGTACAGTGTATTGTGTATCCCGTACCATGTATCTTATGTCATGTACCGTGTGTCGTGTGTCCCGTACAGTGTATGATGTATCCGCACAGGGTATCATGTATCCCGTACAGTGTATCATGTATCCGTACAGTGTATCGTGTATCCCGTACCATGTATCTTATTCCTGCACCGTGTGTCGTGTGTCCCGTACAGTGTATCATGTACAGTGTCTTGAGTATCATGTACAGTGTATTGTGTATCCCGTACCATGTATCTTATGTCCTGTACCGTGTGTCGTGTGTCCCGTACCATGTATCATGTACAGTGTATTGTGTATCATGTACAGTGTATTGTGTATCCTGTCCCATGTATCTCGTAAAACTGTGAATACACAACTACTTACGTACGCAACCCAACGATGACATTATACATTTACATTTTTTCCGTTACTGATGATTGTCACCCCAATACTTAATACTGTTGACTTGGGTATAAGACTTCGTCTTTTCGGAGCCGTACAAAATGTGTGGCTTGGCCGGGATGTATTTTCAGTGTTTTCCCAACGCCCTGTTGAATTTTTTAAAGTGACTGGAGAAACTCCTGAATCCATGCTGGACATGATGAGGGATATATCGGCGGGGCTCCAGAGGGAAGTAAACCATGTACATTCCCTGTCATCACGAAACCGACTGTTTTTGTTTTTGATATGGTTACGATCATATCCATCTGTTTTATTTGAAATTTCGTCGTCCACCGTATCTCGAGAACTTAATGCAATGAAACAATTATGTGGGATACCTTTGCGGACACTGTTGTGTGGCCAACGCGTCAGGAATGGTCGGACATGCGCGGGAATGGGTCTAACTTACCGGACGATGTAGGCGCTATAGATGGGACATCACACCGGATTTACAGGCCAGGTATTGAACCACAGGGTATATATGTACTACAGCGGCCACCGGCATTGTCACTGTATACATACTATGGTTATGTTGATAATTCAGGTATCTTACGATTAGTCAGAAGTGGTTTCCTTGGCAACAGAATGATGCTCAAATTCTGATATTTATGCCCAACATTGGCCAAAATATGGAGCTGGATTTCCCCGCCGATTGTTTAATTTTAGGCGATACAAATCTTCGAAAGAGGTATCCAATTATGACACATTTTCGTAACAATCAATTACGCGCAGCACCACCGCGCCCCCGTAGAAAATACTTGAAACTTAATGAAATCATGTGCCCACACCGGGTCAGAGTAGAACACGCGATACGACAGATGAAAATCTCTCGCGCTATAGGGACCGGACCGTCCCTCTGACGTCATCCTCGTTGGTACATATCGTCTGTTGTAGATATTTGTGCTGCTTTGGCTGTTCGCCGAGTCAAATTGTTTGGATACATCTAGTCGAACAAAATAATACAAATGAGAGAAGGAAAAGTTGTTTGTTGTTTGTTTTAGCCATTTTATTCAAATGATGTGTTTCGAGACATCCCCTAACTCCAAAGTCCGTGTCGGTGTCCGTGGTCCGTGTCAGGCAAAATGGGAGATGTCTATATATACAGCTACTACGTATACACATACAAGAAATGGATTAAGTCGTGTATTTAACAACTTAGCAAACCAGTGGCTATTGTACTGTAAATAAACTGTACGAACAAGAAATGGATTTAGTCATGTGTGTACATGTGTGACAGAGCCACTGGTTTGCTAAGTTGTTATTGACCACGGTCAGGAACGCTGTAACACGGGTGCCTATTAGTCGGTTTGGTCAGAGTCTCAGAGACGTATATACTACAGTGGTGTACACGTAACCGTTTGGCCACTTTCATAATTTACGATTTCATTCAAAGGGATTTGTGAAGATGAGGACACTTAAGAATAGAAACATGAAATTATGTGCTATGTTCGTATCGTCATTGGTGATAGTATCTTGGATGTATATTCATCGGAACGTCGACTACACGAATTGTCCTGGTCCAGGTAAGTACTTTCACTTGTTATTTCATAACATTATTACAGGGCAGGTTTAGAATTTTAGAAGGTGAGGGTCGGGTATTTTTTCATAACGGCTGTAGATCAAAAAGTGCGTTCCGAAGGTCTACACGACCAGAGCGACGTTATCTGTTACTCGCCACTCCTGCATTCTGTTTTTTTCGGTTTGTGGATTGTTTTTGTGGTTCCTCGAACAGAGCAGGTTAAAATTATGCAAATTTGAATGCTCTGATAGGAAATTTCCCACTGAAACGGGTAGGTGGCGCAATATTTAAAAACAAGACCGAACATGTACTCTTTGTAAAAATGATCTAGCCAACGGTTTTTATGTAGAAATGCAATGGCTGTAGACCTTAGAGAAAAATACATTTCTTTATACTATAGGAAAAATCCCTGAAATAAAAATGAAAACCTCATGTTGTACATTGTAATATATTAACATTTGCATGGCATTGTCACTATATAGCCTCTTTGAATGCTGTGTCGTTGATGGGACTTTAATTACCATGCATCACGAGACACAATTCTTAGTGTATTAACACAACACTGACCGGAACTACAATATCCAATATATCGCTGGGCATTGTGAGATTTGACTATGTCATTGTAAATTTATGTGCAAAATAGAAAATAAAATAAAAAAACACTTTTATTACAACGAAAACAAGATCAAGGTCTGCAATATCGTACAAAATGCACATCGTTTGAAATCACCAATGCCGGCAATGGAAACAATTTTAACGCTCATGCAATTTATCAGAAATATCGTCTGTTACCCTGTACTGATCAACAGGGGTTCGTTACAAATGTCTGAAATATACATATTCTATAGACCTACTGACACATATGTTTCAGACCTACTGATATAAGTCACAGCACACATAAACATTTCAGACATTTGTAACGAACCTGTGCTCCGTCGCAAGATCATTCACTTCAAACGCTATCAGTTTCACGCGTCTCGCATCCACGGTTACTCAGTTTCAGACGACATGTCAAATAACGACGCCGTTATAGAATCTACCGACGGTTGTCAGGTTCCCATACAATCAACAAATAAACTTCCAAAAATAACTCCCTCGTGGAGGGCAAGGTCGGATTTACGGTGCTCACTGTATTTGTCCATGCGTGAAATTTGTTCCGGGGAAAAATCGAAACAATTTCAAATCTAACTTTCAGCTCAGAGTTCTATTGATAAACTTAAATCACCCTATAGACATATCAAACGCAATGGTATTGATTCTAAATTGTGGAATAAAATTTAAGTGTTTGCTAGCGCGCATTATGTTGTTTGCTTGCAAAGCTGTGTCATTTAAATAGATCATAAATACCATACAAAAACAGTTCAATGCTTAAGTATCTGAGGAAACCAATTAATTTGTGAAAAAAACTTGTAAAGACAAATGACTAGGAAGAGATCTCTAAAAGGAAAGAGTAGTGAAGAGAGAGAAAAAATAAATCCTGAGTGTTTCAATGAGGGCAGTCGATAAATGTCTGTTACGGCTGAATTTCTCCCCCGACACGATCTCTCACTCCTACACGTGTTCAGATTAGGATTACTCATGTTATGTGACAGTACGACGACAGGGAGCTGAGAATGTGTTACAGCTATATTTGGACCGAAACTGAGGTGTTCAGAGTAATTTTACATGTTTTAGGGATCAAAACCTCAATACGTGTAAAATTACTCTGAACACCTTAGTTTAGGTCCAAATATAGCTGTCCCTAAACCATATAAAATTACTCTGAACACCTCAGTTTAGGTCCAAATATAGCTGTCCCTAAACCATGTAAAATTACTCTGAACACCTCAGTTTAGGTCCAGATATACATGCAAAATTACTCTGAACACCTTAGTTTAGGTCCAAATATAGCTGTAACACATTCTCAGGTCCCTGTGAGTTCCACCATTGTCATTGATTTGGGGCGATTGAGGTATATTAAGACTTATTTATAAGTTTAGAAACCAATACGCAGGCAATAACGATATCCGAGTGTTCCTTACAGACCCAAATCATGGCTTCTCATTAGCTGAGACAGATATCGGGCCAAAATAATTTCTTTTCTGTTTTATGGACTACAATTTTATAAGGTTAGATCATGAAATATTTTGATGGTGTTGAGGAAGATGGGACAACGAAATCAACATCTTCCGCAAAATGGCTGCTGCAGACTAGTTTCTGAATAGTCGAGATTTATGCATTATACAACATCCCTTAAAATACTTAGTAAACGTGTGTTATGTCACGACGAACACTATACTGCGACCTGCATTTTTTTTTTCAATTGGACGAAATATCTGTTTTAGGTTGGGTCCTGATGGTTATATTAGATTAGATATTCACCGACTGCTTAATATATAGGTGTATAACGTCACTACGAATAGTATTGCTTCCCTTTTCCCTGATAGGACAAGATGGCTGCCATAGGCCAGCTTTTGATTGGTCGACATTCAAATATTAACCGATTTTGCTCAAACAATCGAAAGAATTGTTCACAAAATCTGACAACTTACTAGGCTCTCTCCCGATTTTGTTCAGATTTGGTATGCAGATGTATAATTGCATTGCGAACATTTTCTGATAATATTATTATATCTATGGGAAGGACCCTATATATACTGGAAAAACACACACCAGCCTAAAAATAACCTGGTCCCTCATCACTCACTGGTCCCTTACTGATCTATCCCGTCATCGAGGGATTTACATTAAATATAGAGGGAGGGACGGATTTTATGCAGAACCCCCTATTCATCACAAAAGCTTGTTTTTATTTAGTCTATTTTTGTACTCAGCACATGTGTAAATAATGTGAGAAATCCACCTGAACGACCTATGCTAAAACGTGAGTATTTCTATTACTGTGTACATTGTAGGTGATATTAAATTTATTAAAATAAATCCCACCTGCGGGGTCAAATTTGGGGTTAAAATCATGCTTTTTACATTTTTTTGGGATAATGACCATGGTTTTCATAAGTGCCAAGTATGGAGAAAACACTTCTCGAAAAAAATCTTTCTTCTAAAAACATGTTTTTAAAATCTCATATCAAGATTTGTGGCATTTATTCGTGTAAAACGACAATGTTCATGCAACCTTGAAATGTAAAAAGCCGCCAATTTGACTCCGGTGCGTAAGTCTGTGACGTCATGTACTTGTCCTAGGCGTGACGTCACAATTGAAACAATTGAGACTTACAACCAATCTCGGGGCTGATAGGTTACATACGTTAATGGGTTAATACGCAAAATATATGACATTGGTATATTCACTGGATAACACAGTATATTAAACCGAGGTTAATATCACTTTTTTCAGGTACATATTACATTATATTAACCAGCACAAAAGCCCATAACTGTTTTATCATATGCTTCAAACAAATAATTTAAAAACAAAATCAAGATTCTGTAATTTTTACGCGAGCCTCTGTGTAAAATTTAGACAGGGTTGAATCCAACAGTTCGGCATCGTGGCTTTCAAAGACATCATCAATGTTCACGTACTGCGTGTTCGATGGTCTTTTTTGTGTTAATAGCATCTTTGTCATCGAGAGGTATTTGGAAATTTTCAAATGTAACGAAGGCGAAGCGTTCGCCAAACAGCCATCTTCTGTTGTTTTCTGACAGATCGCGTTCCGGTCTAACTTCGCATGCACTAGGACAGGTTGCGGGGAACTTCCATATAGGCTACATTTAAGTAATCGATATTCACTGGATAATCAGTCTACATGAGTTTTTTGAGGACCAGTCACGTGTACAGGATCCGGACAATGTGATTGCGAGACATTTTCAAGCATATAATAATATGTGATAAAGATTTTGTTTTATGTCAACCTGTGTCTGACATGTGAGAAAAACGCATTAAGGTGGCTCCACACTTTCGCAATTAACCAGCAAAATTCGTTGAAACTTTCATATAATGGTTATGCAACTATATAATGTTGATTTTATGAAAATCTAAACATTCCGATAGTTTGGGGACTCTTTTGGAAAAAATACCAAAAAAATAAATTTTCGTCAATTTTAATATTTTCCGATTTTTGTGTGTGTGGCATTGTTTGAAACAATAACAACAATAATAAAATGAAAAGAAGCATTTCTAATTAACCCTACATATATTTTATTTATCGCAAAATATGTAACACATGTGACACAAAGTGCTTTTGTTGAATTTGTACGGATAAAAGTGATTATCTACAAGCTAAAAGCAAACAGGACACAAAGATCTATGCATATAGAATGGGAAATTGAACAAAATATACACAATGGCTTTATGATTAATTTATTTTACATTTTACAATCACTTTGATCCGAGTGAGAGTTATCTTCCTTGAAAAAAACCGGAACTTTTTGCAGAGGGATGACATTTTCACACTGACAGTTGTCTCTGTTTACATATAACAAAAATGATGGAAATAAATCAGAAATATTATATCAAAATTAACAATTTATTGTTCTTTAATGGAACCAAATTACCCTCAGTCATGTACACTTTGGACATCATTCCACAGTCGACTAACTCACGGTATATTTATAATTACATGTCAGGTACATATGTAACCAGAGGCTATCGCATGGTATGCCGTTCTCACGTGCAATCACACATGCATTTCATAGGTATCTTGATATTTTACAAAACATTATTTTCACAGAGTAAGTAGACTACATTTGTAAACACGATTTAAGGTAATAGGATTATGTCGCCATTTCTCAGTATAATTTATTCAAAATTTTGTAGTTATATTGCTTTGAAGTAAAGAAAATTTTCTGCCACAAAAAAATATAGATTGTCAGAATTTCAAGGATTTTAAATGGAAATTTATGTAAAAAAGAGTGAATTTTGAATAAAAAATGAAACACTTTTTTTTGCAAAATAATGTCAATAAAAATTATACTAACATAGTTTAGTATTGCATTAATGTATATCAATTTCATAAATGCTGAAATTGTGTAAAATCAATTATCTATAAACGATTAAAAATT